GTTTATTGGAAAACTGAAGCGATGCATTCTGGGTACATGACGGATTTGATTTGTGACGGGAAACGAAAACACGGTTGTACAATAAGAGCTTGGATTTTAAAGTTTTCCACGTAGTTGCTCCAGTTGACCACTAGATGTCAGTCTTCATCAGCATAACATCTTTAAATCATTTCTGCATCTCTAACCCCGTTGTTTCGACCAATTACGACAAGTATTGAGCTCCAGCGTTTAAACTTTATTTATTTATTTTTTAAAGGAGCTCCGATTGTAAAGTAAAATAAATCAATACATACAAAATTTTAGTATGGATTACAAACGTATGTTTTAGCTGGAATAGGGAGTTCTAAACATTACCTTCCTGCTACGTAAGCAGACGCAAAGCATTGTGGGAAATCAGAACCGTGACTCAAAGCAACAGTCAGCAGGATGTATACCTTCACAATAAGTGTTTTTATCTGGGAGGGGTGCTGTTGGATAGATCACATGTGTTGTGATTCATTGACAGTCATACCTTCTGCTGTTCAATATAATATGACTGGTAGATAATTAGTTATTAGCGGTACTGCATTTTAATTTTAGAAAGCGCAAATCTGCTTATGAATTATAAAAATTAGTAAGACCGCTAGAGTGCAAATGAAATATTTAGGTCCACAATGAGTGGATTTGTGCTTTAGCAGACTGGTGCCCACCACTGGTTGTACTAAATACGGGTGTGAACATTTTCCCTCAAGCCACCTTTGAAACTGGTCTGGACCCCTTTGAAACAAGCAGCCATCTGTGGGAATATTCTGAAATCATGACATGTATTTTGGTTGTTTTTAACTAAAAATCTGGTTCGACGGTTTAGAAAACTGCACGAAGGGCACCACCTGAAATCTTGCCCAGGGCCCCAAATTGTCTAGTTGTGGCTCTGACCACCCATCACCTCTGAAATGTGATCTAAAACTGATTAGTTGTTTCATTTCAGTTGCAGATAATCAGTTAAGATAAATAATAATCTCATTTTATTTAAGTAGAAAAGTGTTTTTGACGTTACCTCTGTAACCATTTATGTTTTATAGTTTGTAGTTGTTGTTTTGGGATCAGAGCGGCCGAATATTGAAACATCAGATTCCTGGCAGGATCCTTCCAGCAGCCTCAGTGCACACAGACAGAAAGTTGTGACGATCTAATTAACTTTCTCATGCAAAATTGAAAGGGTGTAAAAATATCTAATCTGGCTTCTCATTGGAGTGTTGATGAAGTTTGTGGTTTGTCACTTTGGACAGCAGAGTTTTGCTCTTCACTGGTTTCTTCTCTGTACTTTTTCCTTAGCATATGAAAAACTGACTGATTTATTGCAGTTTTTGTGTTTTTTAAGGTTGATTGGATTGGGTTGACTCAACAGTCTTGATCAGCCACCTTCTATTTAATATGGATCTTTGTTTTGAGAGTAGAAACGTTCCACTTCCTGATCTGTAGCAGATAAAGTTAACACAACATTGTCGACTCGTGAAAAGACACAGTCTTCACAGAAAAACACACATGGACTCATGCTGGATCACCATGATGATAAGTTTCCTTCTGGTGTTTCCAACAGCATCAACACACTCCGTTTTGTTTGCTGTTATTCAGATATAAAATCATAAGCAAACATTAAGAAAGAACACATCCCGCTAAATCCACATTTTTAACTATTAAATACATGTTGTTGTGTACTCAGAGTCTCTGTGCAGAAAAGATGAATTTAGTCTCTCCTGGTGCTGCTTAGATATCTTTATATCCTTTTTGGGTCGTATTTTTCAACCCGTTCAAATTTCTCTATTTTCTATGGCAATTTAAAGAGACAGCCTCAAAACGAATTGATCTGAGACACACCCCATAAAAGGGGCGGAGTTTTTGGAGTCACAATAAGCAGCAATTCAGACCAAAGCATTGCAGTTCCACTTTCTATAGACCCCAAATGAAGGATTTAAAAGCAGAGTTGTAAAGTAACCAAGTACAAATACTTTGTTTGGAATTCGGAATTTTATTCCGGTTGTTATTACTAATAAAAATACTATCCTGATAAATTGTGTCTCCTGGATAGAGTGAATTTAATTGTGGTTGGATGAGAAG